CAGCGCGATCTCCGATCTCACAAACCAAAATAATGTAACACATTATTGTAAAATCATATGAATTACATTACATGTAAAATCATATGAATTATTATAAAGATTATTAAAATGAATACGTATGGATGACAGTTGATTACAATAATATTTCAGTTTATTTCCATCATTAGTAACAGTTTCCCCTGTGGGACAAATAAAGTTAATATTAGTCGTATATTAATAATAGGCTACTTCATTAACGTTGTTGTTTACTATCCCTGTTGTAGTATTATTCATAAGTAAAAACCAACAATATTTTTTTTCACCATGTTTCCAAATTCTCTACCCCAGGTCCAAAAGAAATGTAAAGATTGTACAAACTGAAAACATTAAATACTTTTGTGATCTATTTCCATTTGTTATTTTCAAAAGAGAAATACTGTCATGGATGTTTACAGAGCAGGTCACCTTTTTGAGATGGACTTTTGTTTGTCTTTTGTTTATTATTATTTTGTGCTGTATTGTTGGTTACTGTGTTATTTCTGTTTCAAAAGCCAGCAATAAATAACACTATCTAAAGAGTGTTCATGTGATTTTATACATTAGTAATGTTGGGAAATGAATAAATGCATAATAATCGTCATAATCGTAAAACCGTGATTATTCCTCGGACAATAACCGTACCAACAAAATCTATAATCGTTGCATCCCTAGTTGGTGTAGGGCAATAGAATATACGGTCTGTACAGTATAAAAACCATTACACCTATGGAGAGTCCCCACAAGGATAGCAAACCAGACATGCGTGTGTGTGTTTTTTTTTTTTTTTAATTGTGTAAACTTTATATATAAACCTATGGGCTTTAAAAATGTGTCAGAATTTTCACAAAAATATTAAGCAGCACATTTGTTTTGTACATTGATAATAATAAGAAATGTTTCTTGAGCACTAAATCAGCATATTGGAATGATTTCTGAAGGATCATGTGACACTGAAGACTGGAGTAAAGGCTGCTGAAAATTCAGCTTTGCCATCACAGGAATAAATTACATTTTAAAACATATTAAAATAGAAAGCAGTTCTTTTAAATTATAATAATAATTCACAATATTACTGTTTTACTGCATTTTTGATCAAATAAATGCAGCCTTGATTAGAATAAGAGACTTCTTTCGAAAACATTACAAATTCTTACTGACCTCAAACGTTTGATTGGCACTGTATGTCATGGTCTTTAAATAAATGTAAATGATTATAACAATACTTTTTTACAGCTCGATCAATGAAAGCAAGTGGAATTGGTCGCCTGCTTGTTACCATCTTGGAGGCAACAGAGCTAAAATCCTCCAAACCAAATGGTGAGTGGTTTTATTAAACAAATAATAATGGTGAATATAAATAAATAAATAAAAAACTATCTTCCAAGAACATTAGTTAATACTTGTGCAATGTTTTTTAGGAAAGAGTAATCCATACTGTGAAGTGACCATGGGTTCTCAGTGCTACACTTCCCGAACCATCAATGACACTGTCAACCCCAAGTGGAGCTTCAATTGTCAGTTTCACATTAAAGACCTGTATCAAGATGTCCTCTGTATTACGATTTTTGAGCGGGAGCAATTTTTACCAGATGGTGAGTATGAAAACTAGCGAGTATAATACTATTTCTAAATTATATAATTTAATTCATCTTAAACTCTTTAAATTTTAGTATGTATAATTACACCTTCCCATTTGTCTTTCTCCCTTTTATAGACTTTTTAGGTCGCACTGAGGTTCCTTTAGCCACTATTAAGAAAGAACTTGAGAATAAAGGTCCGTCCACTAGGAGGCTGCTGCTTCATGAAGTTCCCACTGGAGAGGTTTGGGTTCGGCTCGACCTGCAGCTGTTTGACCACAAAGCCCCCAAATGAAGAGGAGAGAGGATGTCCCTTCAAAACTGCACATCAAGTACAACTTCTCACCACTAGCTTCTCAAGATTTTCAAGACTGACCTTTGCCTTAAAATGTTCTCAACTACTGTGGAGCGTAGTAATGAATGTGTGACCATAAGGAAGACAAGTTAACGTTCACACCTTTGCCAAGTTTAGATTTTTGACCAAGTGACATAGGAATGAAAAGGGAGAATTTGGGATTTTTTTTTTAATTGCCTAAATAATTTACCACTGGATGTAGAGATATCTCAGGACCTATATTTTGCTTCAAATATACTGTCTTTATTGCTGTACTGAAAGCTAGATTTGTTATAATCATAACTTGCCTAGATCTGAAGTTGATGAGAACTTGTTTTGAACTTGAATATTCTCATCAGCAACACTAAACCTTGTGGTGTTGTTTTTTAATTAATTATCCGTCTGCCTTACCTGCCAGTTCATCCATTTAACTTCACCATGATAGAATTAATTTGCACCAGCCAGTTGATCCTCTATAAAATCTTATAACAGCTTATTAGCCTGTGTAACATGGAAGGAACTTTTCTGCAGAGCTTACTAGTTTTTATGTACGAAGGTACGAATGAGGTGATTAACCAGGGATGATTGGTTAAAGGTCTAATCTCTGTTGATTTTGTGTGCTTGACTGAGTTTTATTTATGTTAATTTATGCGTCTTGGACTATCTGCACATTTTACGCTGCCTACTATATCTGGACTGCCATAAAGCATTCAGATAATAAGGTCTTAATATTGTATATTTTTGCAGAGTTGTAGTATGAACGTTTACTCAAGAGACGGAGTTGCTGAGTTTGTCTCTTAGGTTTTATTTGTTTTAGTTTTAAATATAAATGTAATAAAGTTTGAGTATTTTGAAAATATTTTTGATCTGAAAATGTTTTTTTCTTAAACACTTTTTTCGTTTTCTTTCTCTCTCATCAGTTTTCGTTCTTCATTTTAGCCAAGTATTAGTTTTGAAAAAAGGTCTAATATTATATTGTCAGAAAGACAAATATAATAAGCACAAATATGCAACAAAATCAGGTTTCAGATGCAAATAAAAGTAAAATGCTGTAAAGTATACTGGGTGATTGTCTTCACTACAAAAGAAAACACTTTATTAACTTTAAAGGGGTCCTAATGTGCTTTTTCACTTTTTGAATTTTAGTCAGTGTGTAGTGTGTATGTTTGGGCATAAAAAAGATCTTCAAACTTGCAAATCTCAAAGTCCACTCCAAAGGGAGGTATTTCTTTTAAAAAAAAATCCCTTTTCAAGAACTACTGCGAATGGCTGGTTTGGACTACAGCGTTTGTCACAAAGCGGCCCATTAGAATATCATTAAAATAATTCCCGCCTATGGAAATTCGAATGGTTGGGGGGTGGGGAGGGGCGAGGTCGATGTAGGACGACGATGTAGTGCTGCAGTAGCCTCAAGTTTTGAGAAGGGTATAACTGCAGCCTGGAGATCTCCAAATGGGGGCGGGAACTCCAAAACGGGGTGGGATATGTCCTCACTGGATGCAACAAATGCCTCGTTTCATTTATAATGGGTTTTAATGTATTTTTCTCGTAACGCCGGGACACGGCATCACAGTATGGTAAGGGACGTAACATTTCCGTCACACGCTTGAGGTATTCGGCCAATCACAATGCACTGGATAGCTGGCCAATCAGAGCACACCTCGCTTTTTCAGACCGATGAGCTTTGTAAAAATCGACGCGTTTCTGAAGGCGGGGCATAAAGGAGCAACAATAATGTACAGTATGTGGAAAATAATGTGTTTTTTTAACCTTAAACTGCATAAACACATTTCATTACACCAAATATACAAAATAGTGTTCTTTTTAGCAACATCATATGACCCCTTTAACATTATTGACTTGAAAAAAAGGATGTCTGTTTTTTGAACAGATCCTGACAAAAAAAAGTGCATCACTTATTCAAAATGTAATCACATCAGAATTAATTTACTGATTTTCTTTATTCTTTGTTTAGGAAGAACGTGGCCTGATATTGGTAAGGACTGCACTGTATGTGATCGTTGCCACATACTCAAAGAGCATGTATCCAAGTGTCTGTGTGGAAGCAGTTGAGAAACTAGGTTGGCTAAAATTTTTGCCATAAGTTTTCAAAATAAACTTCTCTGCTCTAGGTAAACTATTTTTTTGATAATAATGTTTGTATTTTAGCTGAGTATCTACGTGAAAAGGAAAAAAATGAACTCAACATATCAGACCAGAAGAGGAGAAGAAGCTATTCAGTGTGATTGTAGTACTATTGATGAGAAACTATGAACTGTACTCAATCTGCTTAGCTACAGGAACACCAAGGTAGGTTGTTTCAGTACAGCTCAGACAAACAAGGAAGCATGTTTTTGGATTCATGTTATGGGATTTTAATTTACATATTGAGATTTGGCATCTTAAAATATACACGCAACCAAAGTTTTTACATCTCAACACTGAACATAATGACACACAAACTCAACTGCCACAAACTTAGGCAACAAGATCTTTCACAGAAAGAATATAAAACTCCATAGAGACTGCAAACAGAACAAAAGCTATTGCAACTGAATGTTATTGGAGTTACAATTCATATGAACAGAAAACATGTTACACAGTCTTATATTATTCAGCTTTTTTTGTTTAGAATAAGAAATCTCAATGAACTGAAGATGTAAGACAGGTAGAAAGAGCAGAAACAATCTACAATGTTTGACCTGATCATTCACAGTGTTGAAGTTTGTAGCAGTCATCTGTCATTATAATAATTTTGTATTACGAACTGAACCAATTAGAGATCAGTACAAATTGCATTTTCACGTTGCACACATACATTTCATATACTCTTTTTTCTTTTTTCTTTGCAGAATAATAATACGGTTAACATTAAAATACACAGTTCTTTTAAATCAATCCCTAAAGCCCCTTCATCATTCATGCATCACATCAGTGCTTATTTAATGTGCTTCTTGATAACCATGGAAAACCACAGACTTAAGAATACACAAGAGCTTGTCCATTTATGTATCACACAAAAACCTTATTCATTTAGACATATTTCATTATACAGTGCTTTCATGAGACAGTCCATTTCATCCTTTAATAAGACAAACAATACACAATTGTGTAGAGGTGTTAGTGGTGGTAGAATATGAAGATTATTAAAAAAATAAAATAAAATTTACATGAATAGGATGCACCATGAATCAGGAGATTTTATATTCTTAATTATTGAAATAAGCAACAAAAAAAATCACTTGACAAAAATGTTTTTCTCAGGTGTGTTTATATATATATATATATATATATTTTATGAAAATGATTAAAATGTAATAAATATGTCATTAATACGAAGGAATTAATACAGGTAGGAAATACTTCATGACCTGAGTGTTCTTTGCATTGTTGTTTGCTTTTGTTTAGTTTGTTTTTCTTTAACATGCTAACGGTTATGACGTATGACAAAATCAGTTTCTGCATGATTCATATTTGCTGGTCAGAGTTGTGAACTTTATACACAAAAATAATAAGGAATGCAAAGTTATCACATAATAAGTATTTGGCAAAACGTAAAGTGTGTATATGGTAAAAAGTTGTCCAGGATGACACGATTAAGATAGATCCACTTGCATTTGTTGTTTTGTTAAGGAAATGGAGTAGTAAAATAATTTATGAAAGGTCTCTTTAAGTTTTAAAAGAGTACCTTGTGTAAATTCTGTATCACCTGAGATATACTAAAGCTGGCTTTATACCTACAGCTGAATTTATTTATTATTATTATTTAATTTGATGAAACTTTTACATTTCTCTCAGCATGTTTTATGACAAATGCTCAAAAACATTTTATACTATGTACTAAAATAACTGTATTCCCTCATACATCTTTACAAGCTTGGACAAAGCCAATAGACAATTTTTTAATAGCATAATGTAATTACCTTATTGGTTATGAATAATGCATTTGGCACTTTAAAATAGCTGTAACCTCATCAATAAACAAAAAAACTAACAAAAACTAATATGAGCGGTGTAATATCCTACCAGATTCAGATTATTTCAAGTAAAACCAAACATTAGCACACACAGAAATGATAAATGTTTGTACTAAAAATGTAAAATAATAATGAAGGAACAGGCAGAGGGCGGCATGCGGTCTGCTAAGTGCTAAGTTGCTTGTGCGTAGAGGAATACCTATGGCAGTGCAGTGTTAGAGCTGAGTTTGTAGGGGATGTTATCTTTTTTTTTTTTTTTTCAGTGTGTCCTTTCAGCTGCTCTCGGCATGTTGATCCTGCTTGTCTACCTCTGGTAACTGCTCTCTCCAGAAGGTGAACTGGCTGAAGGTGTCTGAACAGGGGAAGTCGGTGGTGTTCCCTCTTATCAGAAGAGGGAAGACATGATCAACGACCTCACACAGACGTTCATAACTGTAAAACACACAAGAATATATGGATGAATTTACTGTCAGACTGACAAATTCCAAACTATTAGACACTACAAAATGATCTACTGTTAAGAGTCTAAAAGGAATCATTGATAATAATGGAAATGACAAAAAAATCTAAATAATTCCAAAGCAAGCATGGTTTATTGCTTTTTTTTCTCTTAATTTTGAGTGATTTTCCTTCTTTTTTTTTTTACAATGAGAAAAGAAATGTTTTCATTAGATCCAGAACAGTTGCGTTCACTTACGATGATATGTTGGTCTTTGCATGTTCTTGGATGAGCTCTCCCTTAGGATTCACAGTGAATATTCTGTTCAAAGGCACTCCAACCTCTTTATATGAATAAACATCCTTGAGAGAAGAGCATTCGTTAGAAATTTGCATATATCAGCTGAAGGTAATGTTAGCAGTTCTTGCTACTAGTACTTACTGTTGCTCTGTTTCCAAAAGCAGCATAGAAGGGTTCTGTGTTTGGATAGAACAGGTTTTTAATGTCGGTCAGACATTCAATTTTAAACTTTTCTGGCTTCTTCTCAATGACCTCCCTGAAATTAAAAGAAAGGACATCAGTTACAATATGGCATTCTCACAGTTTTTTTTTTAAAAGCCTATACATGTTTTGTGTGTCTTACAACCTGTGAAATGCAGAGAACAGACTACTGGGACTAAGCAGCACAGGTCCCATGGGTAGCATGGTACCTCTTTCATTAACCCAGTGCAGGTAACCCCGGGTCATATCAGCCATGCCAATCGCCCGAGCTGAACAGTACATAAACTTGTAGCCGTTCCTGTTTGACAAAGATAAGATATATTAGACATTTTAAATTGGGCCAAAAATATTTTTGCTCACATTTAATAGATGTACATGCTCTCTATGTGGTGTGGGACTCACTGGCTGACTCTGTGGTAGAGACGGGCAATGCCCTGATGGGTCCAGTCTTTACCCAGAGTGGGTAAAATGTGTCCCAGGGTGTCAGACCTGAAGGAGATTTTGCAATTTAGACTGTATCTTCATTTTTCATCCGACGAACCCATTACATTGCCACAGAAAGTTGTCTTGAGTAGTCTCACCTTGTGATGGTGCCATCAATATCTGAAATCACTATCTTGTCATCCCAGGTCCACAGATAAATGGTGCCCTCACAGCGGCAAGTGCCCTGGTACTGGGTGGTGACGCTGAAGACCACATCATTGGGGCCATCTTTTAAGTGCAGACTGGCCTGTGAGGAACATGCTTGTAGCGTGGGTTTCCATAACCTATTCTGTGACTGAATTTACAGGCTTTATGGAAGTTGATCCTGCTTGTCTACCTCTGGTAACTGCTCTCTCCAGAAGGTGAACTGGCTGAAGGTGTCTGAACAGGGGAAGTCGGTGGTGTTCCCTCTTATCAGAAGAGGGAAGACATGATCAACGACCTCACACAGACGTTCATAACTGTAAAACACACAAGAATATATGGATGAATTTACTGTCAGACTGACAAATTCCAAACTATTAGACACTACAAAATGATCTACTGTTAAGAGTCTAAAAGGAATCATTGATAATAATGGAAATGACAAAAAAATCTAAATAATTCCAAAGCAAGCATGGTTTATTGCTTTTTTTTCTCTTAATTTTGAGTGATTTTCCTTCTTTTTTTTTTTACAATGAGAAAAGAAATGTTTTCATTAGATCCAGAACAGTTGCGTTCACTTACGATGATATGTTGGTCTTTGCATGTTCTTGGATGAGCTCTCCCTTAGGATTCACAGTGAATATTCTGTTCAAAGGCACTCCAACCTCTTTATATGAATAAACATCCTTGAGAGAAGAGCATTCGTTAGAAATTTGCATATATCAGCTGAAGGTAATGTTAGCAGTTCTTGCTACTAGTACTTACTGTTGCTCTGTTTCCAAAAGCAGCATAGAAGGGTTCTGTGTTTGGATAGAACAGGTTTTTAATGTCGGTCAGACATTCAATTTTAAACTTTTCTGGCTTCTTCTCAATGACCTCCCTGAAATTAAAAGAAAGGACATCAGTTACAATATGGCATTCTCACAGTTTTTTTTTTAAAAGCCTATACATGTTTTGTGTGTCTTACAACCTGTGAAATGCAGAGAACAGACTACTGGGACTAAGCAGCACAGGTCCCATGGGTAGCATGGTACCTCTTTCATTAACCCAGTGCAGGTAACCCCGGGTCATATCAGCCATGCCAATCGCCCGAGCTGAACAGTACATAAACTTGTAGCCGTTCCTGTTTGACAAAGATAAGATATATTAGACATTTTAAATTGGGCCAAAAATATTTTTGCTCACATTTAATAGATGTACATGCTCTCTATGTGGTGTGGGACTCACTGGCTGACTCTGTGGTAGAGACGGGCAATGCCCTGATGGGTCCAGTCTTTACCCAGAGTGGGTAAAATGTGTCCCAGGGTGTCAGACCTGAAGGAGATTTTGCAATTTAGACTGTATCTTCATTTTTCATCCGACGAACCCATTACATTGCCACAGAAAGTTGTCTTGAGTAGTCTCACCTTGTGATGGTGCCATCAATATCTGAAATCACTATCTTGTCATCCCAGGTCCACAGATAAATGGTGCCCTCACAGCGGCAAGTGCCCTGGTACTGGGTGGTGACGCTGAAGACCACATCATTGGGGCCATCTTTTAAGTGCAGACTGGCCTGTGAAGAACATGCTTGCAGCGTGGGTTTCCATAGCATTGTCTGTGACTGACTGACTTTACAGGCTTTATGGAAAATGAGATGCTTACTAGTTCTTCTGAGGACAAACGAAGAGTCTTCCTGTAGCAGTGGCCTCCAGTGCTGTGGAGAACTTCAGGCTGATTGCTCACAGGATTCTGTTTAGCACCTTCACTGTCATCTTCACTGGATGATGATTCATTCTGTAATCTATGAAAAATATCACCAGCCGGTCCACAGTTAAAATGAAAATGTGGTGTACTCTATAAATAATCTACATTCTCAGTATTCTAAAATATGTTTTGTTTGATAAGTCACACAGTTGTCTCTGCATCTGAGCTCATATTCTAAAATTGAGTTCCTGTTCTAAAACCTGATTTTGTAGTTAGTCTATAAAAGTCTTAAAGGTACAGTGCCAAAAGCTGTAATTCTGTTTAAGTCTGTTTAATTAAATACCTGAGAGATGGAGTAATATGTTTGTGTTAAACGTAATCATAACTTTTGGATGTGAGAGACCTTGTTGATGAAAGACATGTTCACACCAACATGAAAGTTCGGTGCAAAAATTTGGTGCAATAAACGTTTTAATTTGAATGAATGGCTGTTAATGTGTCTACAGACTGACACAAATATTTGCATGCCATCAATGCAACACTTTTTAAAGGAAGGTAAAAAAATATCTCTTTTTGCAGAAGATGAGCCTTTCATCTAATAGCCAGAACGATGTTTGGTTTTTCTAAATATGATTCTTTAGGTACCTGCTCACAGATGCTGTTCTTATAGAATCCTCTCCACCTTCAATCTGGTCAGATGCTGATTCCTGATGCAGCAGGAATGATAGTAATTCAGTTACATTTTGATTTACATGCTTTTTTTGCATAATATTTGCAAACCTGCAAAGTCAAAAAGTCTTGGAAAAAATCTGGTAACATTTCACCCTTAATTCAATTCACAATTATTTCCTATATGCAATAATGCAAACGTACTGATTTGGAGCTGTTGTTTCTGCCCCTCCATGAAAACCACCAGCGTCCTCCTTTCTTGGGCATCTTCTCCTTCATGATGTTCTCCACTGTGGCCTGGAGCAAACGCACAGAGCCCCTGATACTCAAAACTCAAAAACTAAATGGCAGGATGACTGTGACTGAACAAACATGCAGCTAATAAATCAACACAAATTCACAAAGACGTACAGGACTAGAGCCGAACACGCTAGGAAAACAGTATGTGAAGAAACCAAGAGCAGAGTAGACATAACTCAGACAGGAATACTTAGCGCAATGGCGCACAATGGGATGGGATGAGGGGAGATCAATTTAAAAAAAAAACGAGGAGGGAAGAGACAAATTTAAATGCCCTGGAGTGCCATGAGAGCCGGGGTGTAGTATACACAAGGACTTTAAAAAGCCACGAAACACTAGCTGAACACTTGAGAAGACAAACAGTTACAGAAACAAAACAGTATTTTCTATCACTGGGATGTATTTCATCATTTATCTATTTAAACTTTGCTATTCATTTGATTAGTACTGAGTTTTAAATAAAAACTTAAAAAAGCAAAGGTGTCCAAATAATTATAAATATTCAAAAGTGAGACACATCCAGTGAAGTACAGTATTTTTTAAAATTGTATATGCAGGACGATGTTTCCAAATGAACAGTTTCTTTATTTTAATCCACCTGCAGGGGGCACATGAATCCCATCCTCAAATAAATAAAGTTATTAGTTTAATTTAAAATCATTGTAATTACACAATTAACAAGCTCAAAGGTTAAGCTTTATTTAAACTAATATAAGACAACATTGTCAGTGACAACGTTTACATGGACATCAGTAATCTAATTATTTACCTTATTCTAAATAAACCAATATTATGATTATGGTGTTTACATGAGTTGCTTTTATAATATTCCTTTCATGTTTCCGTTTTACATGTTATAGTACAAAGTTCGATTAATGGCACGTCATTACGTCCCCACGTGACGCCATCCGACGTCCCCTCCGGAATTTCACAT